AAGGTCCGAAATAAATTCATGAAAAGAATATATTTTTTCACGAATTTTATTTCGGTCTATACTGTATTGCAGCAAAAATAATGCACATAAAAACTTCGGACCGCTTTTATTTTGAAGGGAATCTTAAAACGAAACTTATTTTTTCCTTTGACTATTTTCTCTAATGTCAATATTCTCAGAGTTTTATATGAAAGAAGGGAGAAAAATGCGCCTTTTTTATTTTTTTACATTTTCTTGCGCTAACAATTATACACAACTTTTTCAGCGGGCGCATATCGCAATTATCATTTTGCATAATATTTAGAACTATTTCCAACAAAAGTTGGCGCTGTTATACAGAGTGATTCACAACTTATCCAAAAAAAATTGGGAATAGATGCGGCATGAGAAATGGAGTCAATATTGTAAAAAAAAATTTTTGTAAAATTCATATAGTTTCCGAGAAAAAAATTATTGAAGTTATAGTACATTCAACCACTACAAAGCTGGACAACTGTAGTCTCTAGCGTCACTCGCAATACGCGTGGAGAGCCAGGTGGCCTTAGCGACTTCGAATACTGAAATCCGTCGTTGCGATAGTGTTTACCTCTTATCTGTGGTGTTTACAACAGTTTTTTAGTAGTTAGTGTCAAAAATGGTTTGCATGTATAGCAACTTGGAGTTGATGGATATCGTTTTAATTTATGGTGAATTGTATTATGGTGAAGTATTTTTGTTATGGTGAAACAAGACATTTGTGTTAGTTCGTAGAAAGTGAGTAAGACGGACGCAAATGTGTTTACACGTTGGTGAATAAAATTTTGAACAATTGCTGTAACAACGGGTATGTCAAATGATTTTATTATTTAAAAACACAAATAAATTTTATGAATTAATGAAGGCAAAAGCATTTAAATTTGCCGATATAAAATAGGTGCTATAAAATTATATTTATTTCTTTACTTGCGAAAGTTTTTGCCCGTTTTTATCACCGCCATGCCGGTCACATTGTGCGAGGTCAGGTTTTACAGTGGACCAGTTTCCAGTGCCGTGCAGAAGTGTATTTTTATATCATTTTCGAACTGCCATTTTTGATTTTTTCTTTACAAAATTGTATTTGTAAGGGTCCCCTGTACATTCAGAATTTTTTTTTGGATATGTTCTGAATCACCCTGTATAAAACATCCATCCCGAAACAGATACCGACTGAACTAAATTATTTTTCCTCAGTTTCGCTGTATAGCAGTTGAATTAAAAAATATATTTGCAATTAGTAACGTATCTATCTACATACCAATATTAGTTAATATCATGTAATCATGTAAAACTTAATGTTGTTTAGAAATAGATTCTTTTTTCAAAGTTCGGTTCTTCCACCAGAGCGAAATCAAAAAAATATGGTGACTTTAAAATAACAAGTCTCTAAATTATACAAAAACAATCTGATTTGCTAAATTATTTTTTAACTTCTCACAATGTAGTTGATATTAAAGCAACTGGCAACACCGGCAGTGAGGAATACAGCTTCATACGTAAATTCCGGGAGAGCTGGTTTACTCCGTTCAGTGGTGGCGTATACAAGAATTAAAGCGAGGTTTAAAAGACTAATTATAACTCGAGTATTTATTTTAAAAAAAGAATGTATAAATTAATAAATTATTTTTCACTACCTATTTTCTTCCTCTTCCTTTTATAGGGCCAGGGTAATAATTGTTAATTCATTATCAGTAAAGGCAGCCTACGGACGGACGGTGCTGATACGGTGCTGATATATGTAAATAGACAAGTACTTCTAAATTTTAATATTTAATATAGAAAGCAGTAGTTTTTTATCTCGAATGAAAGAATTAATTATTCAATGTTTTGTTACTGCAATGTACTTTCTAGTATGAATTGCTGTTTATTTTACATAGGTACTATTTACTTGGCTAAATTAATTAAGCTATTTTATATCTATGTTTGATGAAAAGATAACAATAATTAAATAATACTCAAAAACCATATACATTTTAAATTATCGACTTCGTAGGTATTACTGCCTCAGATTATATAATTCAAAATATTTGCGCGTGAATAAATTAAAGCGTTATAGTGCAATTTTCTCTATGATATAAATGATTTACAATAAATTTCTTGTTAAGAAAAAATGTATTTTAGAATCATTTTAAATATCTGGCTATCAGATATTTTTAGTCTCAATCCAATTTTCTACAGGGTGTTAGAAGTTTGACTGCCTTAATTTTAACAGACGATAGAATACATTCAAATAAACAAAAAATTTTATATGACATGGGCCCTACTCAACAATTTCCGAGAAAAAAATTATCAGAATCTCCAACTTAATATACAAAAGTTCGAATAATTAAGGAATATTGACATAATTGTGTGCATAGAATTCCATAAAATACAATGTTTATCACTTTTTTGAACTTCTTTATGCTCAATTCTAAAAAATAATTAGCGTTCTAATAAATTTAAAATTCAATAAAATTCATATCGAACAATGTGACAACGGCGTGGCGGTTTAATAACACGAGGTATACAGCAACCATCAATACGCAATTCAGTTGGTATCTGGATTCGACCGTGTCGGAGTGTTTTTTGCGTACCATTATTTCCTTTTCTTGATGTGTTTTCCAGCTAGTGCACGAAAATTGGATTCGAAGGTGTCGTGTGTGCATTGAAAATGGTGGTGGACATTTTAAGCATACGTTGTAGTTTGTTTTTTACTTTTGCGTTTAAAAATTACTGAATTTTGCGTTTTGGTAACTACCTAAATTATTTTTAATACGTATGATTATTTGGACAACGTGAATCTTTGGGTACTGTAATTAAGTACTTATTTTTCAAATACATAATTTGATTAAAAGTTTACTTCTTGTTTTAAGAGATTCATAATTACTAAAATTCGAACTAAAATTTAAGCACACAGTATCTGCGTACTACAAAAACGATACATTTTGTTTAATTTATTTAAAAATTGGAAAACAGTTGTCTTGAAATATACTAAATCTTTCACAATAATAGTTGTTTACATTTTTTCCGTAGGACAAGACTGCCGCGTGCACATGACGTCGTGTGCATCAACGGGTTACGCGCTGTTGTCACGTTGTGATGAAACTCTCCAATATTAATACTCGCTGTATTTCGAAAACAGTTAATCTTACGCCCTTGTAATATACAACTTTTTTGTTCATTCATGCTGAAGTAAATGCAACTTCTTACACCATGAATATGAAATAAATGTTGTTTTACAAATAGAATACATTTCTTAGTTAATATTTGTTATGAAATAATACATTTTATAATTAAATTATTAATTATTACATATTTTTTATTCAAGTAGTTATGCTACAAAGTTTTTTAAAAATATGGTGGTAATAAATAGTTGTGTTTTAATTAAATGTACTAAATGTCGGTAAACAACAATTTGACACAACTAATTGTTATATAAACCTGACAAAAATTAAAGAAAAAATTAGTTTTTCATTGTTCTTAACTATGTAATGAGCGTTCAAATAAAAACGTGGTCAAGTTGGTTCTGTAAATTTGGACGTAGGGCGTAGCGTATAGCAAATGAACTTAAACGTCATCTGTCAAAGCGCTATATCGCCGCTATCAATTTGAATATTTTCGTTTTAAAAAGCGTTTAAAATGGTGTTTTCTCAAGAACAAAAAGTGTTTATCATAGAGTCCTACTTTAGAAATGGACGCAAGATTGATGGAATATGGAAGTATTCTATTGAGGAATGTTTCATAGAATTTCAAAATCAATTTCCCGGCGTTGTTGAGTACAAAATTTTTCAAAGTGCAGTTCAGCGTTGTGTTAATGTTTTTCGTGAAACGGGCAGTGTAACAAGAAAAGAAGGAAGCGGCCGACCTAAAAAGCGGACTGAAGAATTAAAAGAAAATGTCCAACAAATAATGGAAAATGCGCCAAGAACTTCTGTACGTGTTTTATCACAAATGGTGGGAGTATCAGTCGGTACCTGCCACACAGTGTTAAAAAAAGATTTGCGTTTGTTCTCCTATCGTTTAACTTGTCAGCAAGAACTTCATGAAGTTGATTTTCCGCGACGGGCTGTATTTTGTGAATGGTTTTTAAACAACTACGGTGAACTTCATAATATCACCTTTTTTTCTGATGAAGCCTGGTTTCATTTAAGTGGTTACGTAAACTCACAGAATATGAGAATGTGGTCTTCTGAAAAACCAGATAACTTTTTTGTCGAGGGCCCTCTACACGCTCAAAAAATTGGAGTTTGGTGTGCTCTCAATCGAAGGAGGATTTATGGACCTATTTTTTTTAATGGTACTCTTACTGCGCAAAGGTATAGAGAAGAAATTATCGCTCCTTTTGTTAACCAGCTGGAAGAAAACGAAATTACAAACTTTTACTTTCAACAAGATGGCGCAAGGGCACATACGGCAGGCGAGACGATGAATATGTTGAGGGAAGTTTTCCAAAATCGACTAATAAGTCTCAATGCTGAACATGAATTTCCACCGAGGTCATGTGATATTACGCCGTGTGATTTCTTTTTGTGGCCTTACCTTAAAAACACTATTTTTGAACTGCCTATTCCTGATTTAAACCATCTGCAGGCTCGACTTATAGACAAGATTCGTGAAATTAACAATACCCCGAGCATCTTAGAAAATGTCTTTAATTCTTTGAGGAACAGGTGTGAAAAGTGCTTGGAACAAGGAGGGGGACACTTTCAGCAGCTGCTTTAATTTATTGTTATAACAAGGAGGGGGACACTTTCCGCAGCTCCTTTAATTGTTTGTTATTGTTATCACGATTATTCTTTAAAATAAAGTTATATAGTCATTAACGTTATTGAAACTGACAGCTGCTATACAGCTCGTTGAGAAATGAGGTTAAGTTGGTCGCTATAAGCTACTCCCTACGTCCAATGTGTCAGAGCCAACTTCGACCACGTTTTTATTTGAACGCTCGTTATAAAAGTTATAGGAAAGTATCAACTTTCAACTTACGATACTGGATTTTTCTTTAGATAAAAATGACTAACGAAAAGCAAGACATATTGGTGGACATTTCCGATGATGATCTGCCAAAACTTTTGGAAATGTATGATAAACATAAAGATTGGGCACCAACCGCGTACAGTACAATATTAACAGGCATTGAATGGAAAAGGAAGAGTAAAGAAAAGTACACGACATTTATGTCACCTCATAGCTGCTGGCGAGAAGATGGCACATTTTTTGTTCTAGTTACGGTAAATATGCAAGCCATACTGTCGAGAATAGTGTTATGGTTACTTATAATGGAAGGTTCCCTCTAACGAGCTAATAAATAGATTTGATAACATGTAACATATTCATTTCAGCTTACTGTATTTTAGAACTAACTCATAGATTAAAAGGAATTATAAGGGACATGATTTTCTACAAAAAGGAACTGTAATGTGCTGCTTAATTGATTCTCAAGTTATAGGTAACCATTTTCCTAACACTGCTGTTTTTTTTTGCAACGAAAAACAATCCATTTTAATCAACATATATTTTAACACATTTTTAATTCCCCCTTTCAGTGCCATTGCTTCGATATATTCATTTTTTCCTTAGACGACACTGGCAAAAATATTTACGAAGGTATCCTGAAGACTAGAAGATTTAATCCTGGAGAATTCAAAGACAGGGATTCTTGGTTTTATATGGTACATAATAAGTTTTATCCGATTGTTTCAAAGGCTATTAAAGACAAAGGATGGACTTCAACCGCAGATATTCATTATGATATGTACAGTATTCCTAGGGAACAGGCTTTGAAGTTTGATACAGAGTAAGTCGACGCCTGAAACTCAGACCTAAACTAGTACATAAATGAATAATAGAATTTATGTATGAGAAGGAGGAGCTAAAGCGAAATTTGCCTAGAACATTAAAAAGAAAGTTGTAATGTTTCTCAACAAAATATTCTTTTGGAATTTAGAAGTTTTTTTTTCAAAGTGTCAGAAGATGGCCAGATTCCAACCGATCTTCATACATTTCTTTCTAAAATACTCGTAAAGACTTGTATTTTCATGCCCAAGTGCTATAAATTTGATTTGGGTCATATCGATTGAGTTATGTGAGGTTAGGTTGCCAAATTTCAATTTTTTTTATTTTCAGAGAATATTAAGGGTGAGAGAGCAGTAGGGGTAATTTTTGGGCGGAAGAAATACCTACTGAAGATCTGAGATGATATACGTTTGATTTGGGTCATATTGATTTGAGTTTTAAGAGGTTAAGTTGCCGATGTCCGTTATTCCAGAAAGTAAACGTTGAAAATTAAGGATAAGAGAGTAGTGAAAGTATTGTAATAGGGAAGAAAGTGTACTTAATAAAATTCTGAGATGTCTTCAGTAGATATATCTACCCCTCAAAAAATTACCCCTACTGCTCTCTCACCCTTAATATTCCACCCTTAATATTCAACGTTTGATTCACTGAAAATACAAAAAAAATGAAATTTGGCAACCTAACCTCTCAAAACTCAATCGATATGACCCAAATCAAATTTATAGCACTTGGGCATGAATGTACATGTCTTTACGAGTATTTTAGAAAAAAAATATATGAAGGTCGGCTGAAATCTGGCAATCTTCTGGAATTTTGAAAAAAAAACCTTAAAAAATCCCAGTGTGCGTTGGTGCTACTGAAAAAATGTTTATTACATTGTACCTACAAAATGAGATGCGCTGGATCAAAATTCGTTAATTAGTTTTCTTGCAAAATTCAAAAAACAGCCAATTTTACTGTTTTTTTTTTCATTTTTTTACATGGTAGTTCGAATTTTATACAGGAAACTTCGAGAGCAGATAGATCTGTTTAAAATAATAGGCGTTTGCCTTATAAACATAGGTTTGGAACGGCCTAGTTTCAAAGATACGGGGTGTTAAAAAAATTATTTTTTATTTATATCTCCGGAATCTATTAACCGATCTCAATAAAATTTAGTACAGATAATATATGATAGTAGGCCACGTATTTCCTAAAATATAAGCTCTAAAACTTCAACCAGTGGTGTACAACTGGACAGGGTCACCTCCTTTTTTTTTTAAAAAAAACCTACGCCACTGTATTTTTTACGAGCTGTTGCAACGGATTTATATGCTAATGCACAAAATACGTAAAAAAGGTAACTTGAATTTTTTCCCTAAAGTTCGCCGTTCTCAAGTTATTCATATCAATACAATCTCCTTGTGGTAGACACTTTTAACCATAAAATTATTACAAGAATATTTATGTTTATGCTCAAAAGTAAATTCTTTACACTCGTCGCTTTCATATTTTTGGATTAAAACGATATTTGAAAAATCACGACGGCGCAACGAAAGGCACAGAAATTAAATTTTAAGAGGATTTGACAACGATCCTCGGCTAAGTACACGAAGAACGTCTTGGCAATTTGGGGTGAGTAAATCGAAAATTTGAAAAGTTCTAGATAAGGATGGTAGAAATCCGTACCATTTACAATCTGTGCAAAATTTACTTCCGGGACATGCAGAGAGACGCCTGAATTTTTGTCAGTGGTCGTTAAACTCAAAACATAATCCAGAATTCTTACTAGAAATACTTTAAACCGATGAGGCTACGTTTACAAGACGAGGGGTAGTGAATTTTCACCATATTTGGTCACAAGAAAATCCTCATGAAGTTCGGACAAGATCTTTTCAACCCGAATTTTCTGTGAAAGTGTGGCTCGGAATAAATTTCTGTACCTTTCTTCTTGCCACTACATCTAAATTCCCAATCATTTCTAAACTTTCTAGAAAACCATCTATTTGAATTATTAGAGGATGTTCCATTAAATATACCACAAAATAGCTGGATACAAATGGATGGCGCTCCTGCGCATTTTAGGAGAATAATACAAGAATGGCTTAATGAAAATTATGAGACGATGGATAGGTAGGAGACAGAATGCCAGGGTCAACCATAATAGTGCAGAGGGTCCAGTGTCTTGGCCAGCCAGATCGCCAGATCTAAACCTCCTGGACTGTGTTTGGGGTTACCTATCTGAAAAGTAAAGTTTACTCTACTCCAATAGATACAAGACCACAACTACTGTAGAGAATAGAAGACGGGTGTAATGAATTAAAAGAAAACCACCACATGATATTGTATTATATTAGCTTCAATTAGTTCCATTAATAGAAGATGACATAAATATATCGATGTCCACATAGCATCTTGAACAATTGTTGTAAATACGTAACGTTAATTTTGTTTTTTGTTTAATTGTTGTTGCTTGATAAATGTATTTTTATTATTAATATTTTGATTTAAATTGTTCTTATCTGTAAAGATAGTGGATTAGGGCTCCAGGGGAAACTAAAACAGGCTAGGAACGCTACCTCACAGGTAATGTGGAATGAATTTTGTTAATTTGCTTACAAATTGCACTTACTTTTAAGCATAAACATAAATATTCTTGTATATGTATTATGGTTTGAAGTGTCTGCCACAAGGGGATTGTATTGGTATGAATAACTTGAGAATGGTGAATCTTGGGGAAAAAATTCAAGTTACCTTTTTTACGTATTTAGTACATTAGAATATAATTCCGGAGATATACACAAAAATAATTTTTTTTACAACTTTAACACCCTGTGCCTCTAAAACGGTACCATTCTAGACCTATGTTTATAAGGCAAACACCTGGTATCTGCCCTCGAAGTTTCCTTCATAAAATTCGGACCACCCTGTATAATTCAATTAGTTTTGCTTCTAAAAAATCGTACTATAACTTTTTTGAAGGTCATTGTATACTTAATAAGTGGTAGGTATAAATTTCCTCACTTTGAGACGTTAAAGAGATTGTTTAAATATTAAGTTGAAAATAAAGCCTTTTCCATATTCAAAGTTAAGTGGTAAATTTTTTTCAGATAAAATATTCACATCGATTATTTAATTGCTGCGATGTTTATGCAAATTTTTAGCCTTTACTCGTTGCTCTACGATGCTATAATTTAGGTATAGTTACGATTTTCTTCCAGATGTCCACCTGATGTATACATAAAACCACTAGATAAATCAGCTGCACATCAAATCAGTTCAGTATGGCCACACAATTATAACAACTCCCATAAATACGTCGCACTTTTAATAGAGATGAATGGTGGATTTGGAGTGTATTTAAAATCTACCGATGAATTGGCGGCATGGGTGCTTTTGTCCGCGATGGGTCAACTGACTATATTACAAACCGCGGAAGGCCATCAAAAGAAAGGCTACGCAAGTCTGATAACTAAGTACATATCGAGAAAGTTGGCAAAAAAGGGCTATAATGCTTCTGGGGGAATAATACATGGAAATTATTCTTCTAAGGCCATGTTCGAAAAAATTGGATTCAGAAATTTAGGAATGGGCACATATATCGTATTTGCAAAAGCTACAGATCGAAACATAATGGACCCTTAACAGTGGAGCCAGTGGAGCGAAAATAAAATTCATTTTTAGTTAGAAATGTTGAATGTCAAAAACAGCTTGCCAAAATACAGGGTGTAAATAAATAAATGCGAAAAAATCAGGGGGTGATTCGGTGATTCCCTGTATATAAAAAGGTGGGTCTTTCATATTTAAATAATCTAATTTGCACATCTCCTGTGAAGATAGAACCGCTTAAATATAGTGTCATAAAAGTAGTTTTTAACTTTTTTCTGAAATGACAGAAATGAAATTAAGTAGACATTTTCTGCTATCGAGAAGGCACTCAGTAAATAATTTGTTAATTTTCCCCACGGTTGGTTGTAAGGGGTAGAAAAAGCCATTCCAAAAATTTGTTTCATACGCAATTTTTTTTATTACTACCTCACCAATTAAAAATTCATTGAAGATAGTATGATACAATAAATAAAAATGGTAGGGGAAAATCAATAAATTCTTTACTGAGTGTCTTCTCGATACTTAATTTCATTTCTATCTTTTTTACTTTTTTTGGTAGCTTCTTCAGAAAAAAAATAGAAACCACTTTTTTGACACCCCGTTAAGCGGTTGTATCTTCACAGGGAATGTTCAAATGAGACTTTTTTATATGAAATACCCATCTCATTTTACCACAGGAAATCACCCCCTGAATTTTTTCGCACATATTTATTTACACCCTGCATTTTTAAATGACAGTGAAAGAAACACATCGCAATTTATGGTTTTAATAGGTAATGTAAAATTAATTATAATAAAAATAAGACAAAGTGGTCTTGCTTTCATCTTTAAAACTGATTATATTACTTTTTTATATATCCGTAACATTTTCTAAATTATACAGTATGACTAATGTTAGATGGAAACACTTTCGTAAAAAAGATATTTGTTATCCGATTTATTTCGGAAATTTCTTCTGAAAAATAGAAGACGGAAAATTTCATAACGGTACCTACATGATATTTGAATTTATTTTTAGTTACCAAAGCCTAACTCATTTTTTTTTTCGTTGTCAAGTTTGACACCACCCTGAATATGATTTGTACCAAATGTAATTTAAAAAATAATCAGTGCTGTGTAAAATTTATTTCTGTTCTTTTGACTTATAAATACACAAATAAAATGTTCATTATTTTGCTCTTTTTAAATGTTAACGTTTTTTCAAATCAAACGTGTACAATGTTCATCCAGCTAGCAGAAGAGCTAATTGAAGCATGCAAGGAAATATAACAAACATTCAAAAACTGTTATGAAAACAGTGGCGGCTGGTGCGGGAAGTCTATGTGACGTCACTCCCCCCTAAACATTTTCATAGTAAAGAAATTTAATTTAAGGAAATGTTAAATTTGTAATGTACAGTCAATTTGACTTAACGTTTAGAATAGAATAGTTTATTTTTTTATTTACTCAGCAGCGATAACAATAACATATATACGTATATCATACGCACATATTCACATATACATACATACACGCATACCCACGCACACACATATAAACAATAAGAGCCGGTGTACGCAAATAAACAAAGTTTCGTATAAGTGTACTATGCAGTGTGCATGAACAAAATCAAGTAAATCAAAATCAGTAAGTAGTATCTTACTAGTAAAATCAAGTAATCAAGTAATATTAAATATATATACCTAACCTACTTACCTCTACATAATATTTGTCACTATTAATATTCCGCACTAACATAACATAGTTTTCTATTAATGTAATTACAAAAGAGTAACCGCAAAAAAAAACATTTTTTCGCCCGTTTTTGCGTAGTGTGTAGCAAGAACGGGGAAGGTCGTCCAGAGGTCTCCGTGGGCTTAAATTGATCGTCATGAAAAATCTAGGTGAGCATAACTCGATTTTTCCAATATTTGCCCGACTTACCCCTACTTAAGTGGTGGAAACCACCCCTAAAACAAGAAACGTGAGAAAATGGTCGATCAATTCTTGGTAAAAATTGGCGGGAATTTGAATGGCAAGGAAGAGATCAGGGATGTTCTTCCAAATATGTTCAAGGTGAAAAACATCCCCCGCGTGTGGTAAAACCACCCCTATTGCCGAAAACCGGCGGTAAATGATGTTCCCTTCATGAATTGCCTTTTTTGTGCCACTCTTCCTTATAAATCCAAATGATATGAAATACATGCCCCCATAATTCGTTCTTCTGTCGGATTCTGATCAGTTACCCCTACTGAAGGGGTGGGAACCACCCCTAAAACAAGAAAACAGAAAAAATTTTCACCAAAAACTGGGTAAAAATAGGCGGAATTCCACAAGGCAAGGGTAACATCAAAAATGCCCTCCTAAAAATGCTCAAGGTGAAAAACACCCCCCGCGTGGGGGTAAAACCACACCTATTGCCGATAGCAGACGGGGAATGAAATCCACTTCATGAAGTACTTTGTTTCCCCCACTACCCAACAAATGATACGAAAGACGAGCCCCATAATTCGATCTTTTGTTTTACCCCCACGCGGGGGGTGGGTTTATCATGAGCATTTTTAGAAGGACATTCCTGATTTTACCCTTGCCATGTGAAATTCCCCCAATTTTACCAAGAATTTAAAGACTATTTTCTCATTTTTCTTGTTTTAGGGGTTGTTTCCACCCCTTAAGTAGGGGTAAGTCGGGCAAATATTGGAAAAATCGAATTATGCTCACCTAGATTTTTCATGATGATCAATTTAAGCCTACGGAGACTTCTGTACAACCTTCTCCGTTCTTGCTACACACTACGCAAAAACGGGCGGATTTTGCGGTCACTCTTTCACACTGAAAAACGTAAACATCAACAATCTTTCTTTTTTATACAAAACTCTATCAAATTTGACGATGGCATGAAACTTAGAACATATTTATTTTGTTTGCAAAATTCCAAATACGAGGGCTCCTCGAAATTCACCCCTACATCAGTTACCTGTTTACAGTGGTGGTCATGGTTACCGTTACGCAGCAGTGAAAGACTTACTTACTTACATACAGTTTCTTGCGTTTTTTAAAAAATTGTAGAAGTTTAAATTGATTGTACCACTTGCAATGTTATCTATTGAGAAAGCAATTGTTCGAGAAATACCAAACTTTAATGAAAAAGTAATTGAAAAGTTTATTTCGGACAAAAACAGAAGAATTGGCTTCTATAAATATATATTGTGGAATACATTTTGCCTATTTTGTAGAGATGATATAAACATACATTACAGGCACCATACGCTTCGTTCATCCCCTACAAGTTTACCCTTTGGGTAAACTGTTGCACTTGCAGTTTCATTCATCTTAGTTTTATGGTGGAAATAATTTTAACCGATGAATAAAATCGTTGAAGTAAAACATTATTAATCCACATTCCTAATATTTTTTTAAGACGGAACAATAAAAAAATGTGATTTGTTTCTGTAAATAAATTCATCGTCCAATTCATCGACTAATATATTTTTTTCGAAGTAATCCCCATTGACTTATTTATCTTGTCACAATAGTCCTTCTTCAAGCGTCTAGCAACCAAAACAATCGAAGAAAAAATCAATCTTTTCCAATGACTTAGGAACTTGACCTTCTTTAACCCTGAAAACCCAGGTTAAATTCTAAAGATCTAGGTTATTTGCTTTCAGATAGCAATGATAAAGTTACATAACTATCACTACTAATAAAAATAAAAATGGAATTAGTAGGATTTCAGTAGATAAACTCAAATCACAATATTTGCTGCGGGGAAATAAATTTTGAGTTACACATACAACGGAAATTTTACCACATAAATTTCGAGGTTGAAGATCATAATATTTTAATAACAAAAAAAAAACATCAGTTCAATATTAAGCTATTTATCTTATCTTACTACAGACGAGACGGCAAGGTTTAATAATATCTCAAAGGAAGATCTTCAATATTGTTATCTATGTATGCAAAGAGAATTGGTTCATATTTCAGTTTTATTCCTTTAATTTGAAATGTTGTGTAACTACTCTCAAAATTAGGTGCGTAGCTTTTTTCTATGTATGCAGTTTAGTATCGAAATTCTTCACTTAATCATACTGGTACTTACATATGAGTTTTCAGTGCTAATGCGACAAAGTGACAATTAGGATATATAATTAAGTTAGAAAATAACTATAAATTTAATTTATTATAGAAGAAGGCCTCCTCCACGCGAAATGGTGGAGATCGAGGAAGAAATTTTAGAAATTATCGAAAACAACACAACGAGCACTAGGTTCTTGTTAGTAAACAAACAATTTATCTTCCAGCGTGATCTTCTCGTTGTTCCTTTAAATACCCTGCGTCGCGGAATCTTATAACTAAATTTACAAACATCCGCGAGACCAGATGATTTCGTAAAGGAAACCTTTCCGTATACAAGCGACATGCTGCGGCTGCATTTTGTTGACACTTCCCGCAAGTTAATATTATGTCCACTAGTTCATTGTTTTCATAAACACGTGCCATTTTATTGCACAAAACACCCACAAATAAAAAATTACGAATTATTTAGCACTGTCAAATCGAAAAGCGTACTCAAAATCGTGCAACTACAAAAAAAGACATAAGTACTTAGTATCAGTAGTAAACAAACAATTTATGTTTTTACAACGGAGTGGTCGAAAATGACAATAAATCAGGTTTGTATTTTTGTATATAAAGTTTTTAAATTCCAATTTTTTTAAATAATTGTTAATAATAGCTATTATAACATATTACATTTAACGTCAACGTACAATTTCTTGAGTACATTATTTCGCAAAAGACGCTTATGATAAGTTTTTCTCTCAATTAGCCACTAATTCTGTTATACGTACAAAATTAATGGCGCTATAAGTGTTATTTGTGGCCGTAGTAGAAGGCAGAATTTGTATATGTATTATTTCTGCGCATGGATACTGCTGGGAAAAGACATCACAGAAACAAAACAAAAGTAGCCTCTAGTTTCCAAATACTTTAATTAAAATAGTTTGAAGACGTCATTTTGACGTCACAAGTTTCATAAAACCATCAACTTAAACATATACAAAAAACAAAATATTACTAGAAATAAGCTTGATCAAGATAATCTGCAACTTTTCTAGCAAACCAAGTAATAAATAAATATTTTAAGCCTTAAACGGCACGGTAGGTTGTGCAAAATCATACTTATCGTATCAACTTCGACGTCACCTGTTACATGGGTGTTGTATAATAATGAAAACGTAATATTGACAGTTGGTAGAAGGAAGCGCAAAAAACAAACGCTTAGGTGGGGAATTCTGGAAGAAAGCCTAAATAGTTGAAGTGAAAACAGTGTGGAGTTGGGAGTAAGACGATCGGCGGGCAGTGTGGCAAAATAGTGAAAAATCAAAGTGTTTAACCCGTATTAATTAGCAGGTAATGATACTTTAAGTACGTTGCTATTAATTATTCTATGTAATCTTATGATTGTGATGGTTTTAGATGGGTCGTGATAATAGTTCTGTGTATGTTTAGCCTTCATTGTTTTAGGCTCAGGGATATATATTTTTCTAAGGTAAAATTGTTAGGAGGAACGAATCTGAAAAAAAAAGAATAATTAAATACAAAAAAAAGAATTGCTAAAACAGATCTTCCGAAATCTCAACTCATAGCTGGATTGGCTCTCGTATGGGACTCCAGTACCTTCCGGCCCTACCGGCTAACTAACACCAAACCTCTTCAGTTTTACTTGGAAGTGTGTATGTCTAATTCGAGTGAGGTGACATTTAGTGACACATTGAATGAGTCGGGCGTTAATTATCATTAACAAATTATCCTAATTTATGCCTTTTGTTAGCGTTTGTTTTGTATTTATATTTGGGTAGTTAGAGCAACGATCGTGGGTTTCTCTACCATGCTCTTTCCCCACAGGAGCTCTAGGTGAGCCTGGCACTCTCATTCTATGTTAAATGGTTGTTAACGTTTTTGTTGTTCATTCTATTTGTCACTTGTTTAATTTGAAGGCTGTTGTATGTAAATAATAAAGTTAGGTGTATTTACTCTGTTTTTGTTTTATAAAATTAAACCATACATCCCCTCAAAAAAAGTTAGTAGCCAGCGCCTTGCGGTCAATTAAAAAATATATATATATGTATACAACGTAGGTATTCCACATGACGATCTCATATTTTTGGCCACAACTACGTTTATTTTTTTTTCGATCGAACCCGGGGTTATTATACTACAGGGTGGCGTTCGTTCTCTGTATCTGAAGTATATATTAAAAACTCTATGGACAATAAAAATCAATTTTCAAACAAGATTTTACATGGAAATTCTCGAAGAAATTCTAAGGTGACAGATATCGCAGCCCAAAATGTTATTACAAAATGTGCAGCAACTATAGCATCATCAGAAGAAAATGTCGTTCTAAACCCTAATTCTATTGCTCCAACAAATTTTAATACTTGTTTAAATCGTAATTTTAAATTCGTCTTTATTAACTTACTTACTGCCTCCTGATCGATAAAAAATCATTTACCGATCGCTAATTTGCAAACGTCACCTACAAATGTCGACAAATTCAGCAAAGGTGAGAAATTACCTGAGCATGCAAAATTACCGCTACCGTTATCTTAAGTGAAGCCATATATTGTAAGGATCCTCTAGGTTTTCTCAGTCGATAAATTTACTGATATTATAATCTAGATATACGAGTACATATACTCCATTAATATAACCAGGTTTGTTACTAAGACTGTGTTGTTTCAGATAAAAATGTCTGATGCAGTACAAGATATTTTGGTAGAAATATCCGATGGTGACTTACCAAAACTTTTACAAATGTACGAGAAGCACAAAGGTTGGGTGCCGCATGTTTACAGTGTAATATTGACTGGTATCGAATGGAGAAAGAAAAAAAAGGAGAAGTACACTACATTTTTGTCCCCTAATAGCTGCTGGAAGGAAGACGGCACTTTTTTTGTAGTGTTAACAGTAAATATCAGACCTTTCTATGGAAAAAAAAAACAATGTCTAGTAGATATGTAATATACCCCTATATTTAAGATTTAAATTTTTAGCATTACAGCTTTGATTTATTCTGCTTTTCCTTGGATGGACAGTGGCAAGAATATTTATGAAGGCATCAAAGAAACAAATAAATTCGAAGCTGATGATTGTAATGACAAAATTCTGTTCCTATATGCAATCCACAACAAATTTTATCCGATTGTGGCAAAAGCTGTAAGGGAGAAAGGTATAAACCTAAGTATAGATGATCACTGTCACATGTTTAGCATTCCACAAGAAGAAGCTTTGAAATTTGAAACAGAGTAAGTAACGGTTTAGATCAACTTTATGTCGCATAATTAAGGTCTCGTCACACAAAATGCCCTCTGTGGCGACCTGTCGCGGCGGACAGCGAACGCGAATTCATTGCAGTTCTTAGCCATCTAATGACGCACAGGGTGAAGCAGCTTTGAGAGCGTTCAATAAAAGAACCCTTATAACGATTCCAAGAAAAAAAAATAAAATAGAAAACCAGAACATTCGAGTTAAAATTGCGATCCGCTGCGGCAGAACACATTTTATATAGCGAAGTCTGGTTTTGATTTTATACAGATGTCCTCAGTATAGATTGAAGTTAGCTTTAACATAGCGTTTAATGACGTAATTAAATACAATAACAATTTAATTTCAGGTGCCCTCCAGATGTATACATAAAACAATTAGACAAATCTTACGCAAATTTTATTAACTCAATATGGCCGCACCGTTACGAAGACTCTGAAAAATTCATAGAACTTTTAATAGAGATGAATGACTCTTACGGAGTATTTTTAAAATCAACCAATGAATTGGTGTCTTGGATACTTTTATCCATGTTGGGTCAACTAGGTGTGCTACAAACAGAGGACGAGCATAAAAGGAAGGGATATGCAAGTTTAATAACCAAATATATGTCAAAACAACTAGCTCTAAAGGGTTACAATGCATTTGGAACAGTAATAGATACTAATCACTCTTCTATAAGCATGTTCACAAAACTTGGCTTCAGGAGCTTAGGGATAGCAATGTACAGCCATCAACAAAAATAGTATCGGGTGTTGATATGATGTACTAACTAGAAATAAAGTTTGAAATGTTGGATGTCTAAAATGAAGTGAGTTAGAGATAGGGAACGCCAAGATAATAAACTGAAATAAATTTTCCATTCAGGTTTACTTTTAATATTGTGAACCTCTACGCCAACGCAACGTTAGTGAGAGTCGACATTGTCAATTATTCTGTCAAAAGTTATATCATATTTCATTTATACAACTTCATAAACTTACCAGTAAATGGACTTTAGCCTCTATAAAAATATTGTATTTATGAGAAGCTTGTAATAAATAGTTAATACATAGTAAAACTGTGTTTCATTGGGTATACGTATAAAGGATGTATTTCGCAATGAACGTATAATCCACTCTAAAAGCGCTAGTTGTACATATTTGGTTGGGAGCTTTCATTCTCCTTGCACAGCAATCTTCGCTAATTTATTCACTAACACTAGATTCTGACAGGTTTCTAAAGAATGCCGTCTTGTTTCAGATAAAAATGCCTGATACAACGGAAGACATTTTGGTAGAAATACCAGACGATGACTTACCTAAACTCTTAGACATGTACGAGAAACACAAAAACTGGGCACCGTATGTTTACAGTATAATATTGACTGGTATTGAATGGAGAAGGAAGAGAAAAGAAAAATATACGATATTTTTGTCGCCTAATAACTGCTGGAAGCAAGATGGAACATTTTTTGTGCTGCTAACGGTAAATTGAAATGCTCTGGTATTTTAGTACATAATAATTGTCGCAAAGCGATTATTCCGACATAATCAAACTTATATATTAGTAATAGAAATGTACATCAGCAGTTTTTTAACCAAAAATTGATCACTCTAATTTAGTGTCCTTAGAAAACCAGATTTGTAAAAAGATCTTTAAAAGTGCTGAAGATGAGAAGAAGAAGAGGAAGAAGAACATTTTAGTAATACCACTATCCGCGTCATTTGTACATGTACATGCCTGCCTCACATTTGAAGCTTCGCATCGATCAATTTATTCAATACATACCTAGCGGCACTTTAATGCCCTGTCAGCCTGGAGTGCCGGTGAACAATCCCATTTTTTGCTGAGAGACGTTGGCCGAACATGATTTGACGCTTTGCTTAGTCGAGTGAATGGCACATGTCTTTATGACAGTCAGTAGCATCGTTTATCGTGAGCATAGACCAGCACACGGCTTCACCTCAGGTTCAGCCTATTTCTGCTACTACAATTCGTATTGCCGCTTACTAACATAAATTACTACTGTTTATTTATTTGATTGTCGCCACAAAGTTTCCGATATCTAATAGTGATCTATCAAATTCTCGACAAAACTTTTTTAGATCTAGCCGTTAAAAGATGACAATATCCTACTCCTAACATTTTTGTATATATTAATTATAGTCTCATCAAGTAATACATGGAAAATGCAGGAACAGTATTAATATTAAATAACTAAATAATGAATGTCTATTTTTGAAGTACTATTAAGAAAAAAATGTATAACGGTAAGCTTCATATTTGAAGATATATACAATGTAATTGGGCAGATATGTGGCAAACTGGCTAAGAAAGAAAAAAAGTAATAAAAAGTTTGAAAAATATATAGGAAAAAATGGTTTTTTAATTGGAATGGAGATAATTATTTAGTTATTTAATATTATGTTCTTTTGTTTGTTTTTTCGCCAAAATATGTCTGTTGTGACTATTTTCAATAAATGTGAAAATCTTAAGAAAAATTTAGTACCCACTGGGACAAAAATTGGTAGACAATTGAATAACTTTTTAAGAAACAAAAATTAAGAGGAAAAGATTAAGTATCTTAACAGTTTTTAAGTCAACAGTTACGCGATAATAAAAAAAAGTTAATATCTCGAGTACCTACTTTATATTTCATTCAAATTTGCTAGAGGAGAGATTTTATGGGGATGCTAAATTAGAATATAGTACTAGCTTTTATGAAAAACCTCTAATATAAATATATATTCTTAATAAAGTTCGTCTCTTTTTTAATTTTAGAACCTAACGTTCATGACGAAAATTTAGTCAGAATAATCGCTTTGCAGGTAATTATTCCGCCTTAAAATGTCAAAACATTCCAATTTGAAATAAGCGAGACATAAGAGTAGCTCCATGAAAGTGAAACACACATAATATTAACATTTTTTAGCATTATTCCTTTTTCCTATTCTTTTTTTCCATGGATGATTGCGGCAAAAACATATATCACGGCATTAAGGAAACTAAAAGATTAGATACCCAATTTTCCAAAGGCAAAGGATTATGGCTGTATACGATCCATAGAAAATTTTATCCCATTGTGATGAAAGCGGCTAGAGAGAAAGGTTTACGCACAATCATGGAAGAACATTGCTATATGTTCAGCATTCCAAAAGAAGAAGCTTTGAAGTTTGATACGGAGTATGTATATATGTATTATGGATAGGGTGTTCGGAAGAGAAAGAAATATTTTTCCTGGGTAACTTCTTGAAATAAAAATAAACCGATTTAAATCAAGTTGTCTTAGTTTTGATTCGTAAAATAGTCAGTAGGCGCCAAAAAATTCTTTATTCAAATTTTTTAAGTCTCTTCCGTCACTATTGAAGATGTTTCAAGGGAATTTTATGCAGGAATATTATTGGAGTAACCAAAAATGGGCATACATTTTTTGCTAAATTTGTAGAGGTATTAAAACATTTTTTTTATTTAGGCTAATTCATTTAACGACTTATTTTTCAGTAGGCATTGACATTTAAATGGAAATAGGTTAGTGTAAATATAGAGAAATATTCTGGACATATTAGTAAAACGATTATGTTTAATTAGATCAGGATGCACAAAAATTTCAAATCCGTATGTGATGGATGAAACCATCTTGCTAAATTTGTAGTATATTGAAAATTATTTACTATTTACAAGTAGACCAATCCTTTGAAATAAAATTATAGAGAAACATCTTTTAACTATCACATTCACTTGTGATGACAGAAAATTTGGAACAATATACAGCTGTCATATTCGGTTACACAAACGACAGCAGAAACAGTTATAATGCTTGAAACAATCTTACAGCTGATGTGGGAAAACAAACTTATGAATGATTTCCCCGCTTCAAGTATGAACTAAACCGCTGAAGATATTTCAAAAATTCGCAAACTGATCTTGGAAGACCATTTCAGAATCACTTACGAATCTGCCGATATCTTTGGATTGTCTTGAACTGGCTTCCAATTGATTTTAAATGCGGTACTGCATAGTAAAAAAATTATGTAGTGTAAATTCAAAGTTATTTATGACATAAATTTATTTTTGTACTGAATTTTGAATGAACTTAAGATTTTAACAAAGAAATGAGCTCATTAACGCCCAGTTTGTTGTCAACAAATAATACAATCCATATGATATTTGTTGAGATCGAATTCCAAGACAAGAATAAGCCAATAAAGTTCTTTTATCGGAACTACTGTAACAATTTACCGCCGCAGGGGCGTGACTTGAAATTTTCCGTGTTATTTTCAGAATATTAAAATCATTGTATACGTTAAACACGAAACTCTTCGAATGGGATTTAAAATTCTTTCTTTTATTTTTTACTTATGAAGTTACACGCCTTCGTAACTGCGAAACACAGTATGCACTACAAGCTGCTACGGTGAACGTCACACCGCCAATTCTACCTAGGCTGTCGAATGCGGTTAATTCCAAGAAAATGACGCAGGGGTCTTCTTGAAATTCTATCTCAACAAAAATCGTACGGACGTATACTTAGCTTATCAAGAATTGACTTTAGTTATTATTAGATTGTGGTACAACAATTTGAGACATAGTTTAGCAAGTTAATACGAAAGTTATTCAATGTTGCCAATTTAAGGAGGTTTATCTGATTTGGAATTGACGAACAAATATTCATTAAAAAATTAATATAAGCTTATTAATATGAAGAAAATCCTCAAAAAAAAAAATTATGACTAGTTTGGATACCTAAGAGACGAGATATTAATAAAATAATTTTTACGATTTAGTAGTCTTATGAGAATGCAGATTTTTTGGTTTTTCCACTTAGAATGCGCAACAATTGACGAACAGTTTCCACAACCACTTGTATAAATAGGAAACCGATATCTAAGGAATCGTAGATATCGATTAGGTACTTGTAACATACATAATTTATAATAATTCTTCTTCAAACTGCTGTCGTTGACTAACTTAATCTCCATATGCGTGATAGCGGCAACGCCGCGGTCTCGACGTAGCGTATTATTTGAAATTCGCAGGTGTCCAAACAAACAGAATGACCGAACGGGAGCGAGCGAACGCCGAGCAGAGCGCGCCATCCAAGTGTAGCGTTGCCAAAGGCTTACTACTTTAGTCACTAGCGAATCTACAGAAACTTTCGTTAGACTTTAGACGTATCTCCGTACCCGATAAACCTCCTTAAGATTTATTTAGCTAACAAGTAGTTATAGTAGTTATTACTCGACGAATACTGAGATTATTTCAACACAATTGGCTGTGGACTCGTTTTAACAAAAAAAATTGTTGTTTTTGTGTGAAAATTTACTAATATTTTTTATGGAAAGGAAAAATTATGCTCTATGTTTTAGATAAAAAATAAGACTACGTTCAGCTACCCTATACAACTAACTGTGTGTGAAATTCAAATGAAACATCTAAAAAAGTGAAAATGTAGCTTTACAAAAATGGGACAGAAGTTTTTTTTATACCTGTAACTCTTTAGAAATACAAAATTATACTAACGTAACTAGGTTTAAATAGTTTTTTTTTTCATCCAAGAAAACTACTCGTTTCCAGGCACCCTGTATAAATTAAATATTAAAGCAACATGAAACTCGTGGAATATTTTTGTAATACTATTATAATTTCATTCACAATTTTTCTTTTACTTATATATTTAATCCTCTTGGTGGTTTTCATTTCACACCCTTGGCAGAAGTAGCCAAAGGTATTACGTATAATTGTGTGTGTGTGTATGAATGATTTTATTTTAGGTGTCCATCAGAAGTATATATAAAAAAACTGGACAAATCTCACGCAAATTTCATTAATTCTTTATGGCCGCATCGTTACGAAAATTCAGAAAAATACCTAGAACTTCTAATAGAGATGAATGATGCTTACGGGGTGTTCTTAAAATCGTCCAACGAATTGGTATCGTGGATACTTTTGTCCATGAAGGGTCAACTATGTGTACTACAAACGGCTGAAGGATATAGAGGAAAGGGATATGCAAGTTTAATAACTAAATATATGTCAAAACAACTTGCTCTGAAAGGTTACAATCCATTCGGGACCGTACTAGATACGAATCATTCTTCCATAAGTATGTTCAGAAAAATTGGGTTCAAGAGTTCGGGAATAATAATATACAGCTACCAGCTAAAATAAAAACAGACTAAGTTTCGTTTCACACAGATTCCGATGATCATCAGCATGTGGACGAGCTTTTCTTGTCAGTGCGGTTTATCGATGACGATGTGCGATCATTTCTGGTAGCGAATTGCTTTTGCGAGTCGAACGATAAAACTAGGAAAATGGTTTCAACAGTTATTATTATTTAAGTTATTTAGGGATTGGCCATCAGTAGTCTAGACACAATCTACCGTCACTTGTACAGTTGTTTATCTGCACAAGTGCACAATCATTCATATAGCATCATAGGTATAATTTATTTTCAGAAAATTTAAATAGTTTGAATGCGAACTCTCGTATTTCTTCCTAAATAATCTTTCATCCAATTCCTTCGTCTCTGTTTGTATTGTTTCGCAATTTTGTTAGCATCTTCTACATGAATTAAAATATGGAAGTAGTCTCCACGATTTTCTCTGAGTTTACATTTCTAGAATTGCAAATCAAGCGGGTTTAGAGGCTGTTTCAAATTCGCTTCTCATAACAGGGTAAGAAATACGAACTTGCTTAAATTGAGGTAAAGTTGCTTAAACGAGGAACCAACATTATGCCTCTAAGAAATAAGGCTAACGTGATTAGTTTTCGAAATATTTGAAAAAAAAAATCCGTTTGTTTCATTTTAGCCTCGTTTGAGGTGATATTGAAAAAAGAACACTTTCTCATGACAACTCCTTGCCCTCTTTCGAATGGCATAATCAATTTTTATATGTAACGTTTTGTCTCTCCAGGGCCATCATCAACTTCATTCTTTTAAATACGACCCTGGACATTTTATTACATTACCCCCAATAACGTACTGCCTCAGCCCGAACCAGATACAGACGTTTTCTGTCGAAAAATCTTCAATGTATTCGTTCTTTTATCTAAATTTTTTATTTAAATTTCTATGTTTATTAAATTATCGTATCCTCTAAGTGTCGTTATGCCCTGTGAAATCCACATAGTTTTTTTAAAATATTACCATCACACGTTACAATAAAACATTATTAGAGTTTTAATCCCGTGCTCATAGTTATTTATAGGTTTCTCGTGTGCTCAAAATTCAAACAAATTTCGATATAATCATTTGAAGTTTGGTTGTTCATATGCATTTTTAAGAATTAATTTGTCATAATAAAATGAAAATTGTAATAATGTTTGACACAACAACTTATCGAGTTATGTATGACCAGGTGATGCTAATAGTTTCAATAACTAGGTGGATTTCACAGGATCCAATGACATTTAGAGTGTACTATAATTCAATAAACATAGAAATCTAAATAGAAAATTTAGATACCTAAATTTGGAATTTGGAAATGAAAATTTCGAGGGTTGTATTTAAAAAAATGTTGATGATGGTCCTGAAGAGACGAAACGTTACATATAAAAATTGATTATGCCATTCGACAGAGGGCAAGGAGTTGCCATGAGAAAGTGTTCTTCTTTTCTCGATTTCACCTCAAACAAGGCTGAAATGAAACAAAAACGGATTTCCAAAATTTTGATTGTTTCAAATATTTCGAAAATTAATCATGTTAACTTTAGAGGCATAATATTGGTCCTCTGATTATGCAACTTTGCTCCCATTGAGGCTACTTTGTATCTCTTACCGTTTCCGAGATCCCTGTAGTGAGAAGCGTATTTGTAACAGCTTCATACAAAGCAGAGTTGTCTGCACAATCCTATCACACTAAATAAAATAGAAGCATAACAGATATATAATCTGCTATTGTTTTATAGAAATTGTTTTATTTACAACATAGAATTCCTCTTCTTATTTATTTTGAACTTATTCCATTTTGCAGTTATAATTTACCATGGTTTGAGTCAGTTTCAAAGTGACTAAAAAACAGAAATGCTGATAATCAGCTCACTGATCATCACTGAATGAAATCATGCATTTCTATTTATCACTTTAAGCCGAAACTTAAATGAGTCGGAGATGGAACGTATGCAATACATTTCATTTGTGTAAAATTTCTGTAAAATAATTAAATAAACCCAGTAAAGTATTGTAAAGAACGTAGCTTGTAATATGGGAAGTAAATCTACGTTATGCTTTGTAAAATATTTTACTTTCGAAAGTGACGCTTTGTTCTGATGTAGAAAATAGTAATAAATAATTTAATGTAAAACTATGTTTCATTGAACCTAAGTGTAAAGAATCCATTTGTATTTACTTGAAAATAAAAGTCACAGGTGGCGCTAAACAATTTAGGACAATCTAGAAATGGGTATAGTTCCTTTAAAATTTAAATGAAATACTTACCTATCCTGTAACGAACGATCGAATTCAATAAAGTAAAAAATTAAATTCAACCATTGCTTTTATTATATTGTTTTACTGTTATTAGTTATTTCGCTAAAACAATTAGCAATTAAATTAAGTAAAGTTAAGTAAATAAAATTAAGTCAAAAAATAAAAAATATATCAGTAGGAAGTGGTTTTTCAATGTCTCTCTTTATAAGTAGATAAAACTGACAAATTTTGAAATACTATTTGGTTCCCTTCTGCGACATTTTTTGAATTATTACGTACTTACCTTATGGGGCAAAATAATATCTCGGTTGGACTCGATTATTTCGAAAAAAGTTTCAGACAAAAATTGTAGGGCACCGAGGGGGCTATTGAAAGGTCCATATTACGACTTCCGGTCCAGACCGAAAGTGGTGTTTTTAAACCAGAAGTTGATTTTTTTAATCGAAACACCCATTTTTTTACCACGAATTTCGATTGAAAAACGAAAAAGAATACATTTTGTTCTTATTATTTTTCGATTTAACTCTTATTTTGGCCATAAAATGACCATAAAAGAAACAAAAAAAACAAGAATCTTGAGACAACGGAGTACCTTGTTGGGATCACTTTTTTAAAAAAATGTTTCATACAAAAGTTGTAGGATGAAAAGGGAGCTATCTTGACATGACCTTGAAAATGGTGAGAGGCGAAGGGACCCGCCGAAAACAAGCACCCCAAAGAGAATAAAAAAATTAACTTCCGGTCTAAAAACGCAACTTCCGGTGTAGACAGGAAGTCGTAATATGGACCTTTCAATGGCCCCCTCGGTGCCCTACAATTTTTGTCTGAAACTTTTTTTGAAATAATCGAGTCCAACCGAGATATAATTTTGTCTCAAGATAAATGCTCCACCCGGTATAATACGTATATTAGATAACAATTCAGTCACATTAATCCCAAAATACACTAGTAGTAACACACAATACAAACTATTATCTGTAGTTTATAAAGCCAATGCTTATCTGGTATCACCAATTAAAGTCTCCTTAAGACTGTCTCTCTCACAGAAAATTTTTAAATATTTCTATTTTATTTGTTTTAGAATAAAACAGTTTGTATTGTAGTTTAAATATTTAATTTTTTCTTGTTATAATTCCCGTATTTTTTGTTTATAATTAATATATTAGGTACTTATTTATTTTTTGTTATTATATTACGTGTATATTTTTATAAATTTTATATCTACACTTGACATCTTACAGCTATCCAAGAAAATTATAAGGTGTATAAAAATAATAAAATTAGCTGAAGAATTTCTATGTAATATTTATTGACCTAATTCTTTTCGTGAATTGTGTCTAATCTTTATTTATTTGATAAATCAGACTAGTTATACTATCCCAAAGCTAAAAGATATGTTAGCGCATACGCCACAGTAAAAGTAAACAATTAACAATAGACAACGAGTATATAAAACATGGAGGATTTATTTTATCACACACTGTGACCTTAATCACAATCAATATATAGAAAAGATATGTAACGCAGGATATATTACTTATTACGTTCATTGTAGACGACATTTAATAAAGATATGGAAGTATCTACATGGAATACTATAAATATAGATAAATTAAACTAGACATTTTTGCTTAGGTTGTTTTAGCAAGTTTTAGTTCGTAATGACTTTGTAACCCATATGAAAATATAGGTTATATGGTTTTTATTTGCAGGTAAAAATGACTGAGGGTGAGCAAGACATTTTGCAAGACATTCCTGATGAGGATTTGCCAAAATTAGCAGAGCTGTATGACAAACATAAAAACTGTGCACCCTACGTTTACAGTACTATAATGACCGGCATCGATTGGAGGAGGAAAAAGAAAGAAAAATATTTGATATTTATGTCACCTAATGGTTGTTGGAGGGAAGACGGCACATTTTTCGTATTACTAAAGGTAAATATAGAAATAAGTATATTCTTTCGACTCCCTACGATTTTTTATTCCTACTTGAGGCAGAAATGACAAATTTAGACTTTCTCTGTTAAATGTATAGGCAAAATAAAAGGTTTCCGGTTGCTTTTATAAAAGACTATGCATTAAAAATTTCTGCTGCAATTTTTACTGCACGATTTCAATTATTAAAATATCAATTAGTAAGAAGATCCATATTTTATGTATATTCAATGTCTTATGTACGCAACACATTCAATTAGTACTTTATTAATGAATTTATTTATTGATTTATTTCTTCATCAAGGGTAAATATATTATAATATCAACGCATACATGGGTTACTGTTGTCATGCATAACGCTTAAAATTTCAACAATATTTTCAATTACTAAAGTATTTATATTTTTTCAGTACTATTCTTTCGATATATTCATATTTTCCTTGGATGATACTGGCAAAAATATTTATGAAGGTATCAGAAAAACTAAAAGGTTAGACACTGGTGATTTCAGAGACAGGCCACCTTTATTGTATTCGATACATAACAAGTTCTATCAGATTGTAGTAAAGGCCTTCAAAGATAAAGGGATATCAATGACTCAGGAGATTCCTTGTCACATGTTCAGTATTCCGAGGCAAGAAGCTCTAAAATTTGAAACAAAGTAAGTCGATATAGTATAAGGAAAGGTTGTTACATAACATGAATTGTATAATAACGTTGTTAGTGATTATAGAAATTGTTTTTGTCGTGTTTGTGCACTTGGGTCCTTAATGTTTTTGTATTTCCGTCCATAATAAATGCGCTAATTTCGAGCACAGAATACCACAGTTGTTCAGATTGTTCAATGATGGGTCACAGTATCAAGTACTGGTCATAATTTCTTTATTTCTTTTAAGTACACACAGAAAAAAGTTATGTTAAAACTGTATACAATTATAACACTGTTGATTGTTGAATATATGCAGAAAATACGACGAACTACAGTTAGTGTCGTGAGTTGTCAAAAAATTATATTTAAAATGTAGTTTACTTTCCAAAAAATTTGGGAAATGTATTCATTTTCTACTTTACTAAAAGATACGCGTCGTGTTAAAGTTTCACAAATTTTAAACGAAAATTTCTAGATATTGCAGCTTTTGCTACTACGTTGTTGCTATACTTTTCAAAAAAAAAATTAAATACTTGTGTAAATTGTCATGGGGTACTTAAAAAATAGATAAAACAGGCTATATGTTTTATTTAGATAATAGTAATTCCAATATGTTTTCAGAATTTTAAAGACGCAAAAATGTGGTAAAATATTGTTTTTATTATACAGGTCCCGAGGTAATGGGACAAAATCCATGGGTAGATTCCTGAAGCAAAAATATTTCGATTTAGCCGAACTTACCTTAGTCCAAAAGTTGATAGTTAAAGAGATACAGAATTTTAAATGTAAAATGTTATTTTAGCTTTTTTTCATTTGTTTCTTAATAAATATATATCTACACAAAATTTCGGGGTTTGAGATTCTTTGGGTTGAGGTATTGAAATCTGTTCACATTTTGGCTCATAGGGCGCTAGCTCCTGTAGTTGTGTTAGAAACGTCATAACTTTTTTATACAAAAAAGATATGAAAGCAGATGAATTGGTAGGAGAAACAGCACAGCAAGAAGGCTAAGATTAGCTCAGATGGAGGTGTTTATAACTGGTTACTACCTACATAAGCTGGGCTTCACTGAAGAAGTTGCGTTAGCTGTGTTTGTATTATGTACCTGTCCTGTAGGAAAAATCAGCAGGGTCTCTACAATCGGAGAAATCCAGCTTTTAACGTAGGATCTAGACAAAGTCTCATCCAACAAGCTCATTTGCTACATTAGGAAGTTTAACCTTCTGAGTGAAATATAACATTTGAAATTGGTCTAACCCAGAATAAAACATTGTTAAAACCATTTAAAATCACAGAATTTAACACACATGGGGTAACCAAAAGGTTGGCAGTTTGATTGATGTTCTTTAGTGGTGTTTGCAAATTTATATCAAACAGTTGTATTTAAGAAGTATTCTTGTCAAGAATAATTATGTGCCAAATTAAACCCTTTACTTATTCGCCTACGGTTAGTAGCGATTTAAAATACACTAGGCACAGAAATTAAAGATATTAAAAAATCCCAAATTTTGGGTAATTTTCAAATTTTCAACTTGGACGGAAATGGTCGTAGAGAGAATAAAAAAAAGGAAATTGAAGCTTCAAGTGTCTAGCTTTCGAATCTTGAATTTAAAATTTTTGTGCGTCAATAGGTTTTGAGTAATCATAAACAAATCAACGAAAAAAATTGCAAATTTTTGCTTTTCTGACTTTTTTTTGGTAATTTCACTATAAAGCTCTTTTAGATAATTTAATTCTCTTCAATTTGAGCGGTTCCGAGTTATCGTCGATTAAAGCAAGCATGTTTGACTTTGGTAATCAATTACTCGGGAAATAATGATCATACAGGAAATCCAAGCAAGGTTTTGAAAACTGCAAAGTATTCCACACGTCCTGCTCATGGGGCATCCTTTCAGTCTCATGGACGATAATGCTCGTCTTCATGCCGCAAACGTACGAGAAATTTTCGTCACGCCAACGACGTGGTAACTCTCAACAACTCACATATGAATCCCGACTTGAACCCCATTGGACATGTTTAGGACATGTTCGGGCGTCGATGACGACGAGACTATCCGCAATTACAAAATCACCATTATTTGACCCAGGCTTTTTTACAATCTTGGCAAGGAATTACGCAACGAGACAGCCAGTGGTGCATTAATATGCGAGACCGCTCAGAATGGGTGATCGGGAACAGAGGCGGCAATACGCGATATTAAATTGTGATCTGCAACGACAAATCAAAATTTTCTTTCTTTTTGTTTATAATAATAAACGGTTTTTGATGAAGAAAATATGGATTATTGCTAATAAAAATATTTTTATCTTAAAAAAATGAATAAAAAGCCAAAAATTACTTATTACATTGATTATCAGCATAAACGACAAATCTAAACATTCCGGGCACTAAGAGAAAAAATTATCAGGGTTTCTTTAGGACACTTTGAGGTTGAAAAGTTACAGTCAATATCCTTAGTTTATTCATTATTTGCAAAGTTATGCCAAGTTATTCAAATATCCTGAATTATGCAACTTTTTACTTTTTTCTAACATTTTCACTTCGAATTATTTTTTTTTATCAAAAATCAATAATTGCTTCTTGTAGAGAATACTTTGCGGTTCTCAAAACCCTGCTTGGATTTTCTGTACGATCATTATTCCCCGAGTAATTGATTGCCAAAGTCAAAAATTATTTTTTTTTTAATCAGCCATAACTTAGCGAAAAATCATCGCACAGGGCTCCGGAACCGCTCAAATTAAAGAGAATTAAATTATCTAAAAGAGCTTTATGGTGTAATTACCAAAAAAAAAAAGCCCATAGGCCTTTTTAAAGAAAAGCAAAAATTTGCAATTTTTTTTTCGTTGATTTTCTTACGATTACTCAAAAACTGCTAACGCTACAAATTGTAAACTCCATATCGGAAAACTAGACACTTGAAGCTTCAATCTGCTTTTTTATTCTATCCACGAATATTTCCCTCCAAGTTACAGCTCTTTGAAAATCACCCAAAACTTTTGGGATTTTTTTAATATTCCTTAATTTCTATGCCCAGTGGTTTCTAAGGAAATGCTATAAGTAATGTTTCCTTTTACAAAATAAGGTCTCTCACATGAGGTGTTGGTCAGTATAACAAAATTTTGAAACCATTATGAAATGTGAAGATCACTTCCACTCCAACAACAATTTTTAACCTCTGGTTAATAATGAAGTTTAAGATCCATCTGCAATTAGAAGGAACATTTGAAAAGTGGTATAAGGGATACCATAGTCGAAAAGCTGTACTATATACGGTTTTTGTAAAGGGTACCTTAAAATTTTGAACAGAAAAATACAACGCAAATAATTTCTGAAGACACTTTTATAACAGCGTTATTTAAGTTTTTTTATTAATTGCTTTCTCTCATAGCTAACGAAATTAAATCAACATACCATTTAAGTCATATAACTAAATGTCCCTTATATTCAGGTGTCCTCCAGAAGTCTACATAAAGAAGCTAGACACTTCTCATGCAGAACTCGTGAACTCAGAATGGCCGCACCGCTACAAGGACTCGGTTAAATTTGTATCTTTATTAATAGAAATGAATGAAGGGTACGGATTGTTTCTTAAATCCAATGATGAGATGGTCTCTTGGGCATTATTGTCTATGCTTGGTCAGTTGACTATGGTGCAAACTGTGGACTGTCACAAAAAGAAGGGTTACGGAAGTCTCATGGTAAAATATTTAAGCAAAATCATTGCAAATAAAGGTTACAGTCCATTTGGAACCATTCTGGAAGAGAATAGAGCGTCTATTTATATGTTTCAGAAACTTGGGTTCAACAATTTAGGCATATCAATTTACTCCTTGTATTAATGAAATCTAAGAACGATTGTAGATGTACTTGATATGCTTGCTTTTATTAAAATTTGTTTAGTAATATGTGTTTATGTATCACCAAATGTTTCAGAAATATAAAACTGATACTATAAAATGAATTAAATTTAAATGACGAGATGCATCAAATTTTTTATGTATTTTGTTCAAATACCAGTCGACACACACAACTTTTTCCAACTAAACTTTAAAATGGCAGTGCAGTTTCAACGCTGATTGCACTTAACAAATAAATTCTATTTTATTCCCAGAAGGACGAAAATGTGAATTATAGTGCAACAAATTAATTGTTTTTACGTGCATTCGTTTCCAAAATAGGAAATATGATTTGTTATTTTGTTGAAAGCGACTCGTTGGAATAGCCAGTCATAAATAAACGTTCTGTTCGCGAATTTTGAAACTTGACATAAATATTGTGATAATCCTCTATTACTTTCTGTGATGTTTCGTCTTTAGAAGATGGTAGTACACTAACTGTTTCGGATTACTCAACTCATGTAAGGAAAAAAGCCTTTATATAAAGGAACACCCGAAAACAGTAGTTTTGAGGGTTCCACAGCACGTGCTAATAATATTGAACCTACAACTCAGTTGCGATAGAGTCACCACTTAAGATGTCGACAGTTAAGAACGACGAAACGTTTGGAAACATTGGACACGATCAGTTGCAAAAGCTACTTGCCTGTGGAATAAGAATCGAAATGAACGTAAGGGCGGGTCTAAGGGTTTTAATAGCAGGTTCGCCCCCATAGAGTCTACCTCGACAACAACAAGGGCAGGTCAAAGATACCTAGCTAAGACTAAGGAAATGAAAGGTAATTCTGCAACCGACAGCGACCAGATACAAAGGCCACGGCTTAGCAACCCGGAAAACCATTGTATTGTAAATATTAGCAACAAAAACCTTAAAACCGCTATTTTAATTAATTGTTTGATAACTACAATGTTTGCTAAAGAATAATAACTGGAAAGTTATGTTTTTGAAATAAAATATATTCTTTTCAAGAACGCATCCAGGTAATAAAAGTAGTGTACTAATTTCAAAAATATTCTGTAGCATCGAATTTTTAGGATTCTTCATGATAATGACTTCCCAGGTCTAGTTGACGCATTTATATACCAATTCAACAAATTATTATTAGCCCAAATGTATATGATTTCCGTATAACTCCTTTATAATATAATAATTTAATTTTTCTTATTATTTTAGCTACCCGAAATAGACAGAATATCACTATATATTTTAAAAGAAACAAATAAAATAATTTTAGTGAATCTTGCGCCCTCCTATTAGACTACAAGTCCATCGGAAATTTTCAAGGGGTTATATTACAGGTGAGTACACAGGTAAGCTACAACCCGCCCCACCAAGGGGGGCGGGTGGTGGTGGGGGGCGTGATTTTCAGCAAAACATTTTTGTACGGCATTTCTAAAGTATATATAAAAAAATCATAAAAAAAATGAACCTCGACCTAATGCCGTACAAAAATAGTAATACCGGAAGCCAGGAAAATTTTGGCCCGGTTTTTGGTGATTTACTGCAGAACGGCATTTATTCTGCAAGTTTCAGATTGATACGTAGATAACTTTTTTAGTGACGCCGTACGTATCTGCTGATACAGGGGTTAGAAATGTAGGGCGCAACCCTCTATTTTAGCCCCCATTGTTTCAGGTCATTGAAAAATCGATTCCACATGATTATTTAAAACTCCAAATAATTCTTAGCAACTATGCCGTCTGAAAATTATAGTTAATGCAAAAGTTTAAAAACAATTACTTGTATTTCGGAATTGAGTTTTATCTTTTTTCGATAAGATCATTAATTCCTGTACGGCAACCACTTTTTAAATATAACCAAAAGCTATTGTACTAAATCATGGCCGGGTATAATTAATGGTACAAATTAAAAATTCGAATTAAAAAACAAATAAATAAATTTTGAATATTCCTTGTTATAAACTAAAAATGTTATACTTATTCAAAATATTATGGCTGTAATTGACTTTTCACAAGTAAAAAATAAAAAAAAAACAATGCCGTACATTTTTAACTAGTGGATTTTACATAGCTGATAATATTTTCATTAAATTTTTACTACATTTTTAGGTCATTAATAACTATACGGCATTTACAAATTTTCCTCAGAAATGTAACAGAAAGAATGAAAATTGCAATGCCGTACATATTCGTTGGAACAATTCTACGAAACTGCACAAGTCCAAAATGAGTTTTATCCTAATTTCAAGAGAAATTTAATTTATACCGTAGAAATTATGATGGCATTGTCAACAAAATTAAAAAAATTGTGTATAGAGAATCGAGAAAATATTTTGAGAAATTTAGTTTAATGACATGCAAGAAAGATTATTTTTAAATAAATATAATAATAAACAATTCATTTTAACTCAATATTCATGAGAATTCCTATATAAATACTTACATTTAAATCAGTGATATAATATATGTTTTGAAGTAACAGTACCCTCATATTTGCATATTTGCAACTTCTGTTACAATTGTTTGAATAATTTATTTATGCAAAAATTGTGATGAAGCCGTTGACATACAATAAGTATATGTTTTAAATTAGTAATATAAAAGTGCATTTATTACAAAAACAACAAGATTGTCGGTTATAAACATGAATAAAACCACATAAAAATTTACACGACGAAAAGAAAAAAGAGACACAGAAAGATGTTTCGATGGCCAGCTAGAATCTCGAAGCGGTAATTTTAATTTTAAAATAAAAATAATTTCAAATTTTTAAAAAATATTCGAATGCAGTTTTTTTGTTGATTTCTTAAAAGTAATTTTTTGGATTCTGAAAAAAATTGATGTATGTATTAATTAATATATAAGTTTTTCAAATTTATAAAATTAATAATTTTTATATCGACCTATGGTTTTTTAACGGCATATTACTTAAAAATTATTTTACATCTCAAATGATATATATGAACAATGCCGACCATTTTTCAATGAACGGAAACCATAAGGGTCATACTATCGACAAATATGTACGGCATTACTGAAAAATATTTCTATATGATATTGTAAGTCTTATTATAGAAAGGCCGTACAGTAGTCAATAATTTGTATTAAGGAGAAAATAGTAGTAAAAATAAAATCAATTCGTGCAACTAAGACTTATTTGCAAAAATATATTTCGGGCCTAAATGGCTTGATATATAACAATTTTTTTGTACGGCATTTTGTTTTTGTTGATTATTGTTGTCAGTATTAACAAAATATATTATATATAATATGTCGTACAAAAATTTTTCACCGTAAAATCCTACTTTTCAGAAGGAAATTAATTTTCCTACAGTAGGCACATGTTTCACGAAAAATGTACGGCATGGCCAAATATGTCATTATTTTATAAAATAGAATTAAAATTAGTGAATTTGATGTTGGTTCAAATCACCCCCCCCCCCCATACGCTACTTACAAATCTCTATTTGCAAATTAAACCCTGTATTCCTAACCCCTGTATTAGCAAGTACGTACGGCGTCGTTTAAAAATTTGATCTATGTATCGATCTGAAATTTGTAGTATGAATGCCGTACTGTAATAAATCGCCAAAACCCAGGCCAAAATTTTCGGAAAATCAAAAATTTTCCTAGTTTCCGGTATTGCTCACAAAAAACTTAACCTAATGAGGTAAATTTATTTGTGCAACCTATATACTTTAGAAATGTCGTACAAAAATGTTATGCCGAAAACCACCCCCCTTGGTGGACAGGTTTAGCTTACCTGTGTACTCACCTGTACCAACAAGAATTGACGGCATAGTTTCTAAAGTTATTGTTATATGTGGTACTATTGATTTATAAGTAATTCATGCTGGATCAAATGACCCCTTGAAATTTTCCGATGGGCTTGTAGTCTATATACGAGGCCTGTCCAGAAAATAACCGAACTGGATTGCGTTGCACATATTCTCTGTAACCATATGTTCTTGAACTGTTGATATCTTATTTAGTTTTCGCGGTATTGTTATTTCAATACAACGTATTTTAAGTTTTAGTGACGATTATTGAAACGTGTGATTTTCTGGAACATTTCAACTTTTGCAACAAGCTTACGCAGTCATGATACTCTGGGTCGTACTCAATGGTTTTCACGATTTAAAGGTGATCGTCAGTCAATTGAAGATCATTCTTCACCAGGAAGGTCTTCGACTTCAACTGACGACTCCCACGTCCAGAAAGTCAATTATCTGGTTCATGAAAATGTCCGATTGACTTCAGAGAAATTGCAAAAAAAGGTTAGAATCTCAATTGGGTCATGCCATTAAATTTTGACTGAAAAATTGAGCATCGAGTTGCAGCAAAATTTGTTTATCGTTTGATGACCGAACAACGGAAAGAAAATCGTGTGTACGTTTGTCCTTGAACAATCCAATGACGATAAAACATTCATTCAAAGGATTATAAAGGGAGGCGAACGCCGAGTTTACGGCTAAGACATTGAGACAAAAGTTCAAGCATCACAATGGATTGGTAAAAGGATCTTCATGCCTTAAGAAAGCACGTCAGTCTTGGTCCAATGTCAAAGTGAGACTCAGTGTTTTTTGACCTTAACAATTGATTTGTGCATTTTAAATTTTTACCGCAAGGTGAAACAGTGGACGGTATGTACTATCAAGGCATTTTACAAAGTTTACGTGAAAAGATCCGCATGGTTCTTGCATCGTGCAATTCGTTAGTTCTGTGCCAAAAATAAGATTACCGTTCTTCCTCACCCTCCTTACTCTCCAAACCTGGATCCTTGCAATTTTTTCTTATTTCCGAAATTACAATCAATGCTGAAGGAGCAACTTTTTCAGGGGAGGGGAGTGCTTTGAAAGAGACAAGGACCATAAAGTATAAAATTAATAATAAAGTTTAAAAAATAAAGTTCGGTAATTTTCTGAACAGATCTCGTATTAATCATCGTAACTTTTGATAGTCACATAAATCAAAGACGTTGTATAGAAAATCCAAACAAGAAGCCAAGATCAATGAATAAAACAGATACAGCGACG